GATCTCTGGAGGTCCCTTCCAACCCCCACTGTCCTGTGATTCTGTGAATGCTGTACTTGGGTAAAACATTTTGTAGTTGCTCACTTTGGCAGCGCTCATCAGCCTCCTGGATGCCTTGGATCCTGCCCCAAGGCACCACGTGCTGGAGAGGAAACCGACACACCTAATCCCAAAATCTGGATTCCAGGAAGAGACTGAAATTAGATACTGGAGCATGAAATGCTTGATGTTCCTAGGTCGTCCAGCAGAGCTAGTCTCGTTTTAGTTTCCCATGTACAAAATGAGGATAGGACATTAATGACTCACAGGGATGTCAAACTAACACCCATTAATAATTAACTTTACCCATTAATCATGATAACTACTAAAAACATTTCCGTGTGCCTGGAATTCATGGTACAAAGCATTGAGGACTGTCAACATTTTAGAAACCAAACAGGAAACAATTTCAGACTTTTTTCTAGGGCAGCACACTTACAAAAGAAATAATTAGCAAGGAGGAAGAAGATCAGGAAGAGAATTAATGTGGTTCTGTGTATTACAATCATCTGATTTTCACACAATGCCGTCCTGGGAAAAGCCCATGGTTGCTGGAGATTGCATGGTTTGTGAAGCGGGTAAGTTAATTTTTAAACCTTTTTTATGAGAGTCACATGTTGAAATCATACCACCAGGCAGATGATGTCCCAGTAGGTTGTGTTCCAAAAGGCAAAGTATATTAACACAGATTCAATGCTGACCTGACACAGCTACATGGCTCCTGGATCAGTGGTGGTTTATTTTAGGTATCTCAAGCCATGGCTGTGATAGCTAATCCAAAAAAATGTAGCCTTTGATATGCACCTCATGGGATCTCTAAAAGCAAGTTTTCTTAACTACTCCCTTTCCATTAACAAGCATCAAATATCTCTCAGCGTACGTACACTTAAAATTAATCCATCAAAATTGAACAAGATTTTTTTGGATGATGCTCTGGTCTCTTAAGTACTACTTTAGTCAGTTTGATCTGTTAGCTAAAATTGATGAAGAAGGCATGGGCCTATGTTCCCTTCTGCAGCGTACGATACAGAATGGTGCTCTCCAGGGGGACGGATAACAAGAAGCATCTGGGAGACTGGAAGGTCTTGGATCACCACAATCATATTGGACAGGCTTAACACTGCAGGCTCCAAAGCATGATCCAAGAACAAAAGATCAGAGTAGACCTTCAGAGCAGTAATTTGCTCAAATGTGGTGGAACCTATCTAGCTATTTATCCTTTAAAGGGGGCTCAGGGGCAACACCCCCCTCAGAACAGTTCTGAAATACTCTACTGTAACATCAAGTATCCTCCACTTACAATTCCTAGAGAGGCTTTTCTAACACCCTGGAGTGTAACCCTCACTCTCAAGCTGTCGTAGAGAGCTGTTCTAGAGAGACAGACAGATCAACCCACTGCTGACAGAATTTTCCTTTAAAGAAGTGGAATACACAGCTATTGAATATGCAATGAGTAAAAAAGCCGTATTATTTCTGCATCAGCTTGTGCTTGCTTGTTTATGTGTATGAGAGAGACAAAATGACAGCATCCTTCACACTGGGTTGAGGACACTGGCTTTACTCTTATGTGGAAGACAAAGAAAGGGCTTATTTTAGAAACTGTATCGTTCAAAGCCCAGATTTTCTGTAGAAATTCCCATAGAGAAGTATTCCTTTTAGAACTTCTAGATGGGAAACAGCACAGTGTGGGCTACTTGGAACCAAGGACTGGAAGACATCAATTCATCTTTCGCGTCGGCCTCCCTCAGTGACCCCTGTTACCCTTGCAGGCAATCCAGCCTCTTCATGGGGTCTCAGAGCAGCTGCTCAGTTGTTGCCCTCTCCAGAGTTTGTTTCTCATCCCATCTCTTTCAGGGACCAGACTTCTTCACACTTTGCAAATCCCAAAGCTCAACTCAGCACTTAACTCCTAGATAGATTTCTTGAGCAGACCATCACAAGCATAATGCGGGATCAATCAGCGTGCCCAGACAAGTCCAAATAATCTAGCATTGAGCTGAACAACACAGATCTTGTTTGGTTATTATTGTCTCCATGCATTTCTTTAATGATTACTTCATGCAAGCATCAAGCAGAGACTTAAGCACTAATCATTACTAAAGTTACATGCTGAGTTCATGCATAAGCCCCATAACTTCAAAAGCTATACGCGAACATTTCTCATCTCTTCACTGTTTAATGACCTTTCACGGCTCACACATGCCAGACCAGGTACCATTTTGTGATTAGTCTGGGCTCAGGAACCTTATTTAATCATGTCCTTACACACACGATCTATCTGCTGTAAGCAATTAACCGCATGCAGCCTGCATCCTTTCTAGATACTGCATATCGTCATCTGCTCATCTATCAGCCATACTGCCGCTGGACTGCTGTTGACAAAGGTAAGCTTTGTGCTTTTCAAGTCTGTACAGCTGACATTTGTTTGGGTTGGTGTTCTCTGTATTGTTTACACTTCTAGCGTGCTGACCCAGGTCTTATTATCATGCACCCTTCATTATTTAATCTGTGCTGCAGAATCACTGAGCTCTACTGTAGAAGATTAATTTGTTCCTCGCTACTCAAACTAGGAGAATTTTCCAGTTCTTAACTAATTTTTAAGTTTCAGCCAAAATAAAATTCTTGGATTTGGATTGTTCATCTCAAAGTAATGTGCAGATCAAGAATGGAGATCTTACCAAGAGGACCGTTCAATGACAGCTTTAATCTTCATTCAAGACAGAAAATGCAGAAAGCAGACATGAAAGTAAAGCCTTGAAGCAGATCTATGCTACTTCAAAATAAATTTAAACTTACTAGTACAAAGAGTCGCAACTTCCTCTTTTACCCAAGCCACTCATGCCTGCAAACTCCTTGTATCAGCACTGGAGTGCGTGCGGCCGTATTACAAGCCAGATGAAGGAAGAAGTCCAACTGAAGATTAACCTAGAAAAAAATCAGCAGCTTAAAGTGACATGAAACCACAGGCTCTGACTAGGGTTTGCACTGAGTTTGTAATAGGGCTATCCACGCATGGAAGTGAACAACCTCTAACAACACACCATGCTGGAATCCTGACAAGCCCATATGTGTTTCCACACAGCACACAATGACATTAGATGTGATTTTATATTTCCACAGCCTATTCAACATAATTAGGACTCAAGAGATGAGTCCTGCTAAGACACTCTTAAAAAAATACTGTTGGAACATCGGTTTCCTAAATTAAATTTCATGCAACTGGATAGAAAAAAAAAAGGCTTTCTAGTGCATTTAGATTTTGTGCATTAAAAAGGAGATCAACTCGAAGCAAGTCTACTTTATGCTTCTAGTAGATTAATGGGCAGCTGTGTACATCTTAAGCCTTCTCAACGTGATGTCGTAACGTTAAACAGAACTGTATGTAGTTTGCTAGAAATCTAGAAAGAGCACATGGACCTTATCAAAAGAAAAAAAAATAACCCACAGCACCGAGACCACCTTACGTGAAAGGATGCAAAAGTCAACAGTAGAATTAAAATAATTTTATTTCAGTGTACATGAACAGAAATAAAATATAATTTTTTAAACTTACTTATAGAGATATATTGCTGGGCTGGCTCAATCACAAGTGTTCTCCACTACAAGGCAGCAAGACTGACTAGACCCACTTTACTGCTTTTTGGACCAACTGGATTCAAAGTACCACCTCAAAAGGGTCCTTCAGCACACAGCAAACTATTATTTTTTTTTTTTTAAAATGAAAACTCATCAACTCTTCACCTAGCCAGAAATTTTACATTGTGTTCCAAGGAAGACCTCCCTTGAAATTTCTGTCCATTACTGAAGAACAGTACACAGTATGCGGTGCTGTATCTAAACTTAACGGATCAAGGTTTCTCCCAAATACTTTTCTCTACTCTACTCTCTTGCACAAAGCATCTGCTATAAAATCCACACATTCAAACCCACAGAATTATACAAACCCGTGAACCTGTTTTCAATATGCTTGTTCCTGTGTGCTATTACCCGCTCTATCAGCTTTAACATGCAGCGTACATAGATGGTAAAAGGGCATTTCTCTTGACCATCTATCTCAGAATTCACAGAAGTTACAACTGTTTTACAACTTATAGTGCAATGTAGTTAAGTTATTCAATGTCACAATATGGCACCATAAGATAAGCAATCATTTGTTAAAATGCACAATTCCTTTACTAATCATTTTGTGGTGCTTTATTGATAATGTAAGTAATAATAAATTTTAAAAGACAACTGGAAAAGGAACTGATAGGGAAAAAAAAATCTTTTAAAAAAGTGTCCATCAACCCCTTTATTAAAATAAAATAAAAAAAAAGGAACTGTCAGATTCAAGGAAAACAACAGGAAGTAGTTCTTCACACAACACAATCAAACTGTGGACTCCTTACCATGTGATGTGGATGCTAGCATATTATGAGGATTTAAAGAGATTTTTCTTCCACGATTTTAACCAGCAAATGCTCCAGATACAGAGTTCCCCAAGCCACAGATTGCTTAAAGTATATTCTGAGGAAGCATTGTTATCTGCTCGTCCTGTGTTTACTCTTCCTTGTGCATCTGCTTTTGGCCACTGAGACTGGATGCTGGGCCAGAGGGACCTTTGGTCTGACTTGGTACAGGCGTTTCTAACAGTTACTTCAAAACACTTCATAAACTTATACTAAAGACAAAGTTCATCATTAGCCATGTTGGTTAGTTAGAAGGACTGAGATTTTTGAATTACAAATGACTTCCAAAAGAGGGGAAAAAAAAAAATTTAAGCTTTTTTCTCCTATGACTCAGTTGTATAAAACTGTGTAGAAAAATGAGCATTATGTGCAGATGTAATGAAAAGCAGTAAGCTTTATAAAAAACATTCTTAGAAATGTACCAAGCATAAACAAAAGATGATTTACAAATACATTTAGCTGTTCTTCTAGTCATCATCAGAATCTGAATCATATTTCTTTCCTCTGATGCTCGTCTTATCCAACTTCGTAAAGCTTGTTCCAAATTTCTTTTGACTTTGAAAAGGCGGGTCCATCAAGTTTCCACTAGAGAAAAAGAGCAAGATGTGTTGATTAAAGCCGTATCCATGTGGACAGTAAGTAGCATCTGTAAGTACCTGTTTCTCCAGAAAAACACTGTAAGAGAACACAACCCCTACTCCCTAAAGCCACCCTACGTAGCGCTGCAGTGCTGCTAGAACAGCACATCCTGAACAAAATGGCCTGGATAACTGTAAAGACAGGAGTGTGAGCGTAAACAGCATCTGTGAGTGGAGCTCTAGAGAAAAACTGTCTGAAAGAGCTTTTGCTGCAAACTGATCACACTAAAGACAACCATCTGTCAGGTTAAACAGTAACCAGCGAATTACAGGGAGACTTTTCAAAACAAATGAGGAGCCAGAAGTACAAAACAAGTTAAAATTTTGTAACAGGGACTTCAGAGTAGAAACAGATGAGTCAAAACTGGGTTTTGTACTGCCAGAAGTCACCTTGTACTGTCTCTGCCTAGGCAGACAGAGCAGCTTCCCCATCAGACGCTGCACTCCAGCCAGTGGACTGTGGAGGGACTCACACCTCAGCGTGCCTGTATGACCCTGTCGGGGCTTTCTCACCAGTGCGTGGGTCCGTGGGTTGTTGGGAACAGCAGGTGTTCACGTGAAGCTGGAGCACCCACATCTCCTACAACGGGGGCACGCAAGGATGGGAATCCTCCTCCCCTTGGTCAGAAAAGGGTGTGCGTGCTTTCACTCACAAGACCTGTGAGGGGTTTGCATCTAAGTATCAGTGAGTGGGCGAGCAATTAGAATCTTCTGGAATTAGCTATGGAATGGTGTTTAGAAATTTGTAGATATTAGCATTTTGTAAATAACCTTTTGCTGATATTGATCCTAAATGTGCAATTCACTGATTGCTAGTTAATTACAAGTCAGTAATAAGTCAATACACCACTTGAAACCTGATTTTGGTCAAAGAATGTGACCCAAACAGTTTTTCCCCTAAATACAGTATATCCTTTCACCATCTGCTATCCCACAGGTTGAAGGAAAAGAACTGTTTCTACGCTCTGAGGAGGACTATCTCCTTCTCAGGAACTCTGGAGAGTGGGATATTACATTCAGAGCAGTGTGGAAATGCAACATTTGTACATAAATGGATGTCTCCTGGAATGGATCTCCTGGGCTCTGCAGATATTGTCGCTCACTTTGCAAAGCCAGGGTACCAAATTCAGGATCTGGCAAAATTAACAAAGAACGAAACAACTCCCCCACTCCACAAGGCACTAAGAGAGAACACACAGCACTAGTAGAGTCAAGTAGGAAGTCAAATTATGCCGTAAGCCGATGCACTAACATTTAGCAAATTCAATGCAACTTGGTACAACTCCACTGAAAGATTTTTTCCATAAAAGGCTGTTGCTGTCTAGAACACATATCCAAGTTGTCTTTGATTCCACTGCGTATTTGCTTGTTACTGAACTGGGAATTGGGTATTACCACTTGTTTTGAATTATAAATATTCATTTCAGTCACTTCATCTGAAGTTCAAGAGCTACTAAGCTAAACTGAACAGTAGTTTCTTTGCCTTTGAGATACAACAATACTTATTGCCAAAATTTGGAAATAGAAAAAAAAAAGCCAAAGATATTCAAAACAAAAGAGCAAAATTAACCTAAAAAGATGACATTTTAGCCACACTGGAAAGCAAAGCAGAAAGTTCTGGTAAATGATTCTCCTGTAAAGTTAGGCTATTGTGGTGACAGTTATCTTCTACTGCCTTCTATCCTGTAGTCTTAAATGTGGGATTTATGATGATTATATTGTACTGCTACACAAATAATTTATTGCACTTCTGCAACTTATTTTCACTTTCTGTACTGTTAATTGGAAAAAACCCACATTCATGTGTGTAATACAGACTAAGATGCAGTTTAAGGATGACTTGCTGAGTTTTCTCTGAAGTGGATTAAAAATGCTCAAACTTTACTGCATTGCAACTGTGCCATTTAAGTATCTATAGCCGATTGTGAAAGGATTACATCAGATGAGTGACTCTCAGAGGCCATATCAAAGCAGCGTAGTTACTCTATACATTTCACAGCAAGAACTCTGTTTATTTTTATTACTGTACAAAAAGGATTGTTCATTATAACGTCTCAATACTTTGCCAAAGAGATACTCTCTTCTTTCCCTTGTCAAAGTACACAGATTAAATAACTGGATTAAACTCTCGTGTGTCTCAAGCATACCACATATCAGTCAAAGTTACAAACTTTTACAGATTCTCCTGTCTGCAAGCATGTTCTCCTTGCACTGTTATCTGAAAACACAACAATCACAAAACAATTAATTACCTGTAATTAATTATGTCTGCACAGCCTAATCTCCATTCTAAGGTCTCTGTAGTGAAGTCATCAGTGTTACCGAGATCAGTAAAGCCCACAACATAGTCTTGTGTTTTTCCGTCTTTCACTAGTGCTAGAGTGGGAATTACTTTGATGCGCAGTCTCTCGCACAAGAAAGGAGATTTCTCAGCGTTTAATTTCAAGAATTTTGTCTCAATGTGCTTTTTTGCCAATACAGTCAAATGCTTATCCATTATTTGGCACCTGTGAAAAAAACCAAAATATTTGAATTGTTAGAATCAATAAGCTGAAGAATATATACTTTAGAGCAAGTTTAAAACGAACAGTAAAGAGCTAGTTCTATCACGTTAATTCCTCAAATATGACCTTTATAATTAAGAATTTAGTTTCAAGAGAAACTGTGTTTCAAACGTAGCTGGATTTAAGGACTAATAGAATAACAGCCTGGAGCACCTTTATTGCACAATTACACCATCTATTTGTCTAATTTCTTCCTAATTACTCCCACATACACCTGAAAGCTTCTCTCATTTCTTGAGGCCTGCATTTATTGATGAAATTTCCTTGTGACTTCTATTCTTCCTGCTCCAGCTTCACTGCCTGTCAGCTGGAAAAATTTCTCTACAACAAACTTCACATCTTCAGAAAAGTACTCTCAACATGTTGCAGCATTTTGGTTTTTTTTCAGTCACTACCTCCACAACTGAGATGCAGTAACTCACTGTACAGAAAAAAAAAAGAAGTGATTTGCACAGACTGCTTCAGTAGTGCTACACGCAAAAATATTTCACTTTTCTGTTGCAATGGAATAGGAGTGAGCATACAATTACTGTTTCGCAGCTAAGGTTCAGTAACATGAACTGCTCAAAATACTTGTCAGATGGGAAAGATCTGTGGACTTGTCATCTGCTACCTCAACTTTCTGGATTGTCTTCTTCAAATGGTTTGGCTTAGCTGCATGGACTCTGTGATGTGACTGTCCTTTAATTCAAGAGGAGAGCCGAGCAGATCAAAAAGCTGGAGTGGGCAAGGATGAAAGCAACTTGATATTGTGGTTGGTAAACCTGACACACTAGCTTCAAGCTGGTTGTCAGCATGACACATTTTACAAAGAACTTTAGAGAAAGCTCTTTCGCCTGTCGGAGTCTACAGACTTTGTTGGTTCAAGAAACAAGAAGCAAACAATCCAAACCTGCTCTAAGCTACTTTATTTGCAGAGACAGTCTTTCAACTTCTTTGAGTAAAAACTAGCTAAATACAACTGCTTCAGATATTTCTGAAACTTAAAACATTTAACTTAGAAAATGTAGGCTGCAGATACGTCACTGCATAATCCAGCTTTGATCTCTTTCAATTTCTCACATTGAGACTGTTTCAGTTTATGTTCTATAAGCTAGAGAGAACATAACATCTTGGTGGGGCAAAAACCCAACCAACCAAATCCAGGACAACTGGCTCCTCCTTCAACAAACTATTCTACTTTCCAACTGCATTTTAACAGAAAACATTGAGACAGATCCGCTGAGGAACAACCTGCAAGCCAGAACTTCCAAAATTCTACTAAGGAAGTGGGAGAACTTATTTTAGGTTCCAATGCTAAGTCTGGACATATTCTCAGATCTAGGTCTCTCACACCCTAAAAAAGTGACATAATCACAAAGGCACAGGCACAAAGGGAAAGCAGCTGCAATTGGTATCCACAGACCCTTTCAAAGTAAAAGGTTAAATTCTGAAGATACCTAGACAAGTTTTTGTTTATATTTTTGTTTGCCAGAACTGTCCAGAATATCGCCACCTGGAATAACCAAAGCCATCCTTTGAGACAAAGGACCCTCTCACCATCAGGCAGAAGGAGGACACTCAGGAGACTGGGGAGAATGGAAGCTGGCGTGGCAGGCAAGTCCACTCTCAGCCTGCCTCACTTTCCCATGTGCCCGTACACAACAGGTATGAGGGCCCCGGAACTGGATGGACAGACAACTGGCGATGTGGATAAAGGTCCTTCTGGGATGGAGGGTCATCTAGGCAGCCTATTCCCTACATCACAACCACCCATGTTAAAAAAAAAAAAAAGTAGTAGCTGTCATAGGTGACTCCCCTCTGAGGGGAACGGAGGGTCCAATATGCTGACTGGACCCAACCCACAGGGAAGCCTGCTGCCTCCCTGGGGCCAGGGTAAGAGATGGTACTAGAAAACTCCCTAGTCTAGTAAGGTCCTCGGGCTATTATTTGCTATTGGTTCTTCATGTCAGCAGCGACGACGTAGCAAAGAGAAGTCCAAAGGCAATCAAAAGGGATTTCAGAGCCTTGGAGCAGCTGGTTGAAGGATCAGGTCCACAGGTAATTTTTTTCTTCAATCCTTTCAGTAGCAAGGAAGAATATTGAAAGGAACAGGCAGATAGATGCAACTGATCAGCACGTGGCTCCCAGGCTGGTGTCATCAGCAGAACTTCGGGTTTTTTGGTCATGGGATGGTCTATACATCACCAGGTCTACTGTCATCTAACGTGATGCACCTTTCTCGGAGAGGGAAAAGGGTTTTTGCGCAGGAGCTAGCAGGATTGACGGATAGAGCTTTAAACTAGATGGGAAGGGGAAAAGGAACAAAACCAGGCTAGTCAGTGACAAGCAATGGGATGGCACACCAAAGTTTGAAAGGCTGTGTGCTAGTGAGATCCTTCAGACTGCTCCACGAGGCGATGGTCACAATTAACCGCATTTGAAATGTTTCTACACCAATACCCACAGCATGAGGAAGAAGCAAGAGAAGCCAGAGATACCACATCATTGGCGTAAGTGAAACCTGGTGGGATGAGTCCTGTAACTGGTGTGCCATGATGGATGGTTAGAGGCTCTTCAGGAGGGAGAGGCAGGGCAGGCGAGGCGGGGGGGTGGTGCTGTACATAATAGAGGGGCTGGAAAGCATGGAGCTTGCAGCTGGCGATGGCACTGCTGAGAACCTCTGCTGAGAGGGTAAGCATTAATGGACAGACAAATAAAGCAGATGTTGGAGTCTACTGTAGGCCACCCAGCCAGGATGATGACCCTGATGAGTTATTCTTAAAGGAACTAAGGGATACCTCTAAATCATCTGCCCTTGTCCTTATGGGGGACTTCCACCTTGCTAGATGTCAACTGGGAATATCACACAGCTGGTACAAACAGGTCAAGAGATTCCTAAACCATCTGGACGATAACTTCTTGGTACAGGTACTAAGGGAGCCCACTAGGAAAAGGGCCCTCCTTGATTTGCTGCTTAACAGAGGGGCTTGTGCATGAAGTGGTGATTGGTGGCTGCCTTGGCCAGTGACCACGAAGCAGCCAAGTTTAAAATCTATGGTGACAGGAGGAAAACTGCCAGCAAAACCTCAACTCTGGATATGAGAAGAGCAGACTTCAGGCTGCTCAGTGAACTACTTAGTGAGGGCCACTGGGAAAAAGCTTTTGAAGGTGCTGGGGTCCATCAGTGCTGGTCACTTTTGAAGGACCACCTCCTAAGAGCACAGGAGCAGGCAATTCCAGGATGTTGGAAGTCAAGCAGGTGAGGCAGAAGGCCGGCTTGGCTGAGTAGGGATGATCTTCTAGAGCTAAGGCAAAAAAAGAAGATGTATAGCTAGTGGAAGCAAGGTCAGGCAACATGGGAGGACTACAGAGATGCTGTTCGCCACTGTAGGGAGGAAATTCGTATGGCCAAAGCTCAATTAGAGTTGAAGCTGGCCAGCACTGTGGGGGACAGTAAAAAGGGCTTTTTAAAATATGTTAATAGTAAAAGGCAGGCCAGAAATAACATTGGCCTGTTACTCAAGGAGCATGGTCACCTCACAAACAGGGACATAGAAAAAGCAGAGATGTTTAATGCTTTCTTTGCCTCAGTCTTCAATGCTGATGATGGGATCTGGGACCCCCACAGCCCTGGGCTAGAGAACCATGACTGTGAGAACGACAAACTCCCCATCAACCCCAAACTTCTGTGGGATTTGCTGCTCCAGCTGGATCCCTATGTCTGTGGAGCCTCATGGGATTCATCTGAGGGTACTTGAAGAGCTGGCTGATGTCATAGTGACACCTCTCTCAATTATTTTAAAATGCTCCTGGTAATCTGGAGTGGTCTCAGTGGACTGGAAGCTGGCAAACGTTGTCCCAGTCTTCAAGAAGGGCAACAGGGATGACCCCGGTAACTACAGGCCTGTTAGTCTTACTTCTGTGCCTGGCAAAATTATGAAGACTATTCTGGGAGTTATTGAAAACACCTGAAAGACAACACAGTCATTGGTCCCTGCCAGCATGGGTTCATGAGGCGAAAAGTCCTGTTTAACAAACTTAATTTCTTTCTACAACAAGGCTACCCACCTAGTTGACCAAGGGAAGCCAGCTGATGTAATCTTTTTAGATTTCAGTAAAGCTTTCGATACGGTTTCTCACAGTATCCTCCTGGACAAAATGTCCAGCATACAGCTGGATAAACACATAATGCAATGGGCGAGCAATTGGCTGGCTGGTTGGGCTCAAAGGGTTATAGTAAATGGGGTTACATGAGGTTGGTGACCAGTCACCAGCAGGGTTCCACAGGGGTCCACCTTAGGGCCAGTGCTCTTTAATGTCTTCATAAATGACTTGGATGCAGCACTTGAAGGAATACTAAGTAAGTTTGCCTATGACACAAAATTGGCATGAGCTGTTGACACTCTCAAAGGCAGAGAGGCCCTGCAAAGAGATCTAGACAAATTAGAGAGCTGGACAATCACCAACCATGTGAAATTTAACACGGGCAAGTCCGGATGCTGCACCTGGGACAGGGCAACCCTGGATGTACATACAGACCAGGGAACGAGAGGCTGGAGAGCAGTCCTGTGGAAAGGGATCTGGGGGTTCTGGTCAACAGCAAGTGGAACATGAGTCAACGGTGTGCCTGGCAGGCAAAAGGGCGAACCCTATCCTGGGGTGCATCCAGCACTGTATTGCTAGCCAGTCGAGGGAAAGGATTGTCCTGCTCTACTCTGCACCACTGCGGCCTCACCTCGAGTACTGTGCGCAGTTTTGCGCACAACACAAAAAGGATGTAAAGCTACTAGAGAGTGTCCAAAGGACAGCCACGAAGTTGGTGAAGAGTTTAGAGGGAAAGCTGTATGAGGAGAGGCTGAAGTCACTTGGTTTGTTCAGCC